GGTGTTGCTCAGTGTGAATGTTCTGGGTTCAGTCCCCAGTACTGAAAAAAAAAGCAAAAAAAATTAAAATCCAGCTTCAGATTGGGGAGGTGTGCTGACCATTATTCAAGATCACATCTTGAATGTTTGCAATTTTGTAGATATATGGGTCTTCATTAATCTCGGTAAGTTTATAGCTAAGAACTTTTAAAACTATCTTTGTGAGCTCAGAAGCAGCTATGTTTCAGTGCCAGGGTATTTTAACAATGTAACGTTATCCAGTAGTGAGAAGGTATAACCCTGAACAGATTGTATCAGAATGAAAGAAAGTGACCGTCTCCCAGCACCCGGACCTCTCTGCTGTTGCCAGTCACCTGGAGAGCCTGCTGCCCCACACAGAACTGATCCTATTCCTCGAGGAGGGTCCCCTGAGCCCCAGTCAGAACCAGCTGGAGGAGGCGGTGTTAAAAACGCAACTTTCATCACTGGCCTGGGCACTGACTTGTGATACTTCAGAAAAAGCCAATTTCACATGCAATTCTGCTGCAAGATACTGTTTGGGCAAGAACAGAGAGACTTGTCAGAATCCCGAGTGTGACCTAAACTCCTAATTGGCAAAGCCTCAGAAGCCAGTGAAAAATGTCTAACCTGTCAAACACAGCTTTCTGGGCGCATCTTATTTATTTATTTGTTTGTTTGTTTATTTACTTATTGAAACATGGTCTCACTGTGCAATTCAGGCTGGGCTTGAACACACAGAAGCTGGCCTTCAACTTGTCATGATTCTCCTGCCTCAACCTCCTGAGTGCTGGGATCATAGCCATGTGCCACCAGGTCCAGCTTAGGACACATCTCTGCCTTGCTCTCCAGCTCCGTTTCTCCACTGGAAACGCCAGTGACAAGGACTTGTCCACAAACGCTTCAGCCAGAGCGAGGTGCTTGCTGTCTCCTTGCATGTGTGTACAGGTCCTCTGCATCTGAGCAGCTGTTTTTCCTTCTATGCAGAATATTCCTCTTTCTCTCCTTCCGGTCCTTCCATCTCCTGGGCTAAGCCCTGCTGCTCGTTCTGCATGTAGATCTCTACCATGGAGCTCATCATACTGATTTCCACATGCGTCGCTGTCCTACCTATCTATCTACTAGTTCAGGAAGACCTGGCATAGAGGAGAAATGTGTCAGTTTGACTACAGTCAACAGAATTCAACTCTAAACAAGTTGGTCACATGTTGCACAGCTCAGAGACACAAAGGAGCTTAGGAAAGGCAGACACTAGGGAAGCTGCAGACTTCACCCAGGGAACTCCTTGCCGTGAAAAAGAAGACCCTTGGAGAAGAAAAGGGGAGTCTGTGAGGGCAACACCACCACACCCATTGTTAGAACCCTGAAACCCACACGCACACAGAGACACACACTGCCATTGGCATTATGCAGCCACAGAGAGCTGTCAGAACAGGATCTGTTCAACCCTGCTTGGGAGGACGAGTCTTCCTGAGGAAGGGTTTGTGGTACCAATACTGAAACAGCAAGTCAAGGCCAGGTGTGGTGCATGCTTGTAATCCCAGCCCTTGAGAGGCTAAGGCAGGAGGATCCTCCTGAGGTTGAGGTCAGCCTGGGCTACAAAGCAAGACCTCATCTCAAAAAAAAAAAAAAAAAAAAGAGCAAGGGCAGGGCGGGACCTAGGAAGAAATGAAGTCAGAGATAGAATTAGCACGTATTTAACATTTCCTGGCAGGCTATGAGCCATTGTTGCTGCATTTAATCTTTCACAACAATTTTGCAGGTAAAGATTATCTGTGTTTTTAAAATAAAGAAAACTAAGACCTAAGGAGAAATTTGCCAAGGTCATTCAGTTTGCAAGAGAAAAGAGCAGATTCTGAACATGTCCACACTGTGCTACCCTAGTGATGCATATACAGAATATAGTGTGTTTTTCTCCATAAGAAAATTTTGCGCTGGCCATAGTGGTGCATGCCTGCATTCCCAGCATTTGGGAGACTGAGGCAGGAGAATCACTGTGAGTTCAAGGTCAGCCTGAGCCAAATAGTGAGTTCAAGGCTACTCTGAACTACATAGTGAGACCCTGGCTCAAAAAAAAAAGAAAAAAATTGTACTAGGCATAGAGGTGCATGCCTGAAATCCCAGCACTCTGGGAGGTTGAAGCAGGGAAAGCCCAAGTTCAAGGCCAGCTTGGGACATAGTTTAGTGAGAAGGCCCTGAGTTAAGTTCACAGCACCACAAAAATAAAACAACTAGAGCTGGGGATTTAGCTCAGTGGCACTGTGCCTGCTCGCAAGTGCAACATCCTGAGTTCTATCCCCAGTACCGGAAAAAAAAAAAAAAAAATGACCAAATAAATAAATAAATAAATAAGCAAGCCAACATTTCTTTTTTAAAAAAGAAGTTTTTGTATTGATTTTCATTTTCTTCAGTACCACCCCTTTCGCTACCATGTCCACCCCTTTTTTGCTAACCCAACTAGAGGAAGAGCCATAATGCTCAGTGGTTAAGTGCATTGGCAGTAAGAGCTCCTAGGCCTTGGCTCGACTTTCAGCTTTGCTTTCCACCACAAATGTGACCTGAGCTGCGTTTTCAATTGATTTGCATCCTATTTCTGTGGAAAATCAGGATGATAATATTAGTTCCCTATCTTGCAGGTTTATTGTGAACATTAAGCAAGTTAACACATAAAAAGCACTTAGAATAAGATTTGCCCATAATACTTATATAACCGCTATGAAAATTTTTGCTCATTTTTTTAACTGCTGCGTTGTTTTTCAGAGTACATATATTATGATAGATTATCTTTCTGTGAACGGAAGAACTGTTGAGTTAATGGGTATATATGTGTGTGTATTGAAATTATTCTTCTTTTTGCTTTGTTTTGTTTTGGTTATGTTTTTTTGACACAGGGTACTGCTATGTAGTTCAAGATAGCCTTGAAATCACTAGCCCATGCTGGCCTTGAATGTATGCCAATCCCCCTGCCTCAGCCTCTTAAGTGCTGCCATTACAGGTGAGTGCCACTACTTCTGGCTAAAATTATTCATTTTATCCATTGATATTTGACTCGAAAGTTTATATACACAGTACAAATTTCAAAATGTGCAAAAGATCTTACAGTAGAAGTCTTTCTTTCCACTCCTGTTCCTCACAAACCAGTTCTCCTCCCTAAAGACAGTCATTTCTTGTATCTTTTCAAAGACAGTGATGCACACATACTAGTATATTATGTGTCTATGTGTAAATATAAGCATTTACATGTGTACATATGTGTGCATGTATAATCTTTAAAAATGTGAGAGCAAAAAAAAGTGAGAACATACAGTACATACAATAGTGTGTGTCCCTTATTTTTCTCATTTTTTTTGCAGTTGGGACTTGAACCAAGGGCCACCTGCATGTTAGACAAATGCACTACCACTGAGCTACATCCCCAACTCCAATAACATCTCAGAGACCTTTCTCTGAGGCCAGTTATAGAACTGTCTTGCTTCTCTCTCTTTTTTGTCTTTCTTTTCAATGGCTGTGTAGTATTCCATTGTGTGGAGATGCCATAATCTATTTAACCATTTATTGATAAGCATATACAGTATTTTTAATATTATTACAAACAAATACCATAATAAATATTAATATCATTTTGCCCCTTTCTTTTTCTTTTTTTGGCTTGGTAACTAGGGTTGGAACATAGGGGCTCATGTATACTATGTAAATCCTACTACTGTGCTAGAATCCTAGACCCTTCCCCTTTTTGGGTTGGATTTGAGACAGGGTCTCATTATGTAATTCAGGCTGGCCTCAAACTTGCAGTGATCCTCCTGCCTCAACCTCCTGAGTGCTGGGATTACAGGTTTGCATAACCATGCTAGCTTGTTTGTGTTTTTGTTTTTTGAGACAGGGGGGTCTCACTATGTAGGACTTGAACTCACTATGTAGCCTAGGCTGGCCTCAAACTCATGGCAATTCTCCTGCTTCACTCCCCACCCCAGGGGCTGGGATTACAGGCATGGGCTACTATGCTTGGTCCCAGACCTTTTAAAAATAATCTTATTTTGGTCTTGTCCAGATGTCCAAACTGGCCTCAAATTTATAATCCTTTTACCTAAATACCTGGGATTACAGGCATATGACATCACACCCGACTATGTTTTTATTTCATGAAATACAGCCAAATATTTTTAACATTCCTTTACCCATTTGTTGAATAAATTTACCCTACTTTACAAAAACATTTGGTTAGCTGGGTGTGGGGTGCATGCCTGTAATCCCAGCACTCTGGGAGGCTGAGGCAGAAGGACCCTAAATTTGAGCCCAGCCTAGGCAATTTAGTGTGTCCTTGTCTCAAAATAAAATAGGGCTGAAGCCAGGCGTGGTGGTACACGCCTCAGCACCTGGGAGGCTGAGGCAGGAGGATCTCAGAGAGTTAATAAAGGCCAACCTGAGCTACATAGCGACATTCCATCTCAACAAACAAAATTAAATAAAAATACAAATAAAAAAGGGCCGGCGATGTACCTCAGTTCAAGGCCCTGGGTTCAATCCCCTGTACCACCAAAAAACAAAAACAAAACTTTTGAGAGCCGGGGGATTTAGCTAAGTGGCGCCACGCCTGCCTGGAAAGCGCAAGGTCCGGATTTCGATCCCCGGTAACGGAAAAAACAAAACAAAACAAAACTTTTGAGTAGAGGACCACGACTCGGACTGGCAGTGACACGGGCTCACAGGTCTCCTTTGTGGCTTATTATCATGACCCTGTGGAGGCCTGATAGGATCATCCCCTCCCGGGTGGGAGTCGTCTAATTTCCATAAAGCACGGCCTGGTGACCCTCGCTCCACTCGCGCGCGCGGGCGGAGACGGCGGCAGCGCGGCGCAGGTTTCGGGTTTCAGTCCCCGGGGCCGCGGCGCCCGCGACAGATCGGTCTCTACCCCGGGCAGCGGACCCGAGCCGGAGCCGGAGCCCGAGCCGGAGCCGGAGCCCGAGCCGGGCGGGCGCAGCGCGGGCTGGCGGCGCTGGGAGGCGGCGGCGGCGGCTGGGCCGGGACTTCCTTCCTCCCCCGCGGGACAAAAGCGCCGGGCTCGGCGGCTGGAGCGAGGCTCGGCGATGGGCTCCCTGCTGAGCAGCGACGCCGCCAAAGCCGCGCCCGCGCCCCCCGCGCCTCGGGCCCGGGAGCGCAGGGCGGATCCGCCGCTGCCGCTCGCGTCCTTCGACTGCGCCGTGTGCCTGGAGGTGCTGCACCAGCCCGTCCGCACCCGCTGCGGCCACGTGTGAGTGCGGGCCGGGCCGGGCCGGGGCGCGTGGAGTGCGCGTGCGCGTGTCTGTGCGCGTGGCAAGGTGAGCTTGCGCCCCAGCCGAGGTTGCCCGGACCTCAGGGAGGACAACAGCGGGCGGCTGGGCAGCCTCGGGGCCGCCCCCTCCCCACTGCCAGGTGCAGAGGTCCGGCGGGGGGACCCGGCATCCGCAGGACCCCCGCTACCGCCGCGCTTGGTGGCTCGGGTCGTCCCCCTCTCTCCGGAGAACCAGGTCGGTTTTGTTTTGCTGGAGCGGCGCACGTGTCCCCGAGGTCCCCCGGGCTCCAGGCGCTGGAACCCCAGGAGCCACTGTCCTTCCGCTCCGCCCCCGCGTACCCCCGAGAGCCCTGCGCTACCCTCCTGCCCCAGGGCAGCGTCCGAGTGGCTTTCTGGAGTCGTTAGAGTTTGGCCCCTGCCTTCGGGTGGGGCTTGGGCTTTGAACGTCAGTGCAGAGGCTGTGAGCGTGGCCGAACAAAACCCAGCCTCAGCGACAACCCTAACTGCAGACTACCTGCTTTACCCACTGCCTCTCCAAACCGAAAGTATAGGTGTACTGACCTTCTTAAAAAGCATGTGCTGTTTCATTAAAATGCAGTTAGTACAAAGCCCTTGCAGTTATAAGAAGGGCTTAAATACTAAATCCTGCCCGGGTGTGGTGGTGCACGCTTGTGAACCCAGCACGCAGGAGGCTGAGGCAGGAGGATGGCCTGTATGTGGTTCGAGCCCAGCCTGGGATACATAGTGAGTTTAAGTCCAGCCTGAACTGCATAATGAGACCCTGTCCCCAAAAGAAAAAGAACCCCCCCCCCCCCGAATCTCTGTATAAAACTGGCGTGTTCTCAGCATGTGCTTGAGTGACTTGTGAGATGTGGGCCTGCTCATTTGTGTCCGTTGTTTCCATTCTTTGTGTGGTTGCTGAATGTGGTGCGTACGTGAACTCCCGCATAAGTCAGGAAGGGAGCCCACTTCACGCCGTCTGTTGTCTGTGGACTGTAGCGCGATGAATCACCGGGCAAAACTACAATGGCAGCTACAGGCCTTGGCTTACCCAGAAGAGGCACTTTACACCTGCAAAGGCGCAAACTGCTTTTACGATGAGGAAAGCAGTCCCGGACATCTATGGCTTAGAAGCTGAGAAGTATTTTCACCGTTGGCCAGTGAGCCCGGGAGGAAAATGTGCCGCCCACAGTGTTTAAATAGGAGAGCTCTGGGCGTTATTCTGTGGCTGTATTTTTCAGGGGTTGTTTTTTCAGCCTTGTACTTTAAACTGAGGGCTCATATTTAGCTCGTTTCTAGCTGCTGACGTCTCCCCAGTCGAGCTGTCCAGGTGCAGCTGGTTGACAATAGCCAAAGGCCAGCAGGAGCGCCGAGGTGCAGTTGTGTAACAGTATAAAATCTATTGATTAGTTCAGGGTAATCACAGCCCAGAGATAACTGCTTTTAGCCTAAGCCTTTATTAGTGTTAAACTTTACAGTTGTGTCATCGGTAAACAGTGAGTCTGGAAAATTCCTTCTGTAGAACAGAAACGGACAGCTTTGCTATTGTTTTTTTTTTTTTTTTTTTTGGTACTGGTGATTGAACTCGGGACCTTGCGCTTGCAAGGCAGGCACCGGAACCACTGAGCTAAATCCCCGGCCCCAGCTTTGCTGTTGTAATTATCTGCCTGGAGATTGTTTGCAGGGCTGGAGTGGTGAACCCTGTACGTAATTTACTGTTTACATTGTTCCTGCTTCTACTAAAGGATGATGCAAATTTGCATAATGTTGTACTTTTTGTTTAATCTTGTTCTTTGTTAAAGTGAATAGGAAACCAGCCAGTGGAAAAATAGCCATAAAATAGCATAACAAGTGCTGCACAAATGTCTTCCCTCACTTTACTGTTCTTTGTTTTGACAAATCTGTGTCCATTGTCCCGGCTGGGGGCAGAATGTCCGAATTCCTCCTTCTGGGCAGATTTACTTGGGTCCCTTCCACTTTACAGATGTCACCCAGAGTCCCTTCTGTGAGGAGGCTGTGCATTGTTAATACCATATGAATTCCTTTTTTCCAGTGAACTTAAGTTGGAAAATGAAATGCAAACAGAGCCTCTCAGTTTTTTTATCCCAGGTTGAAGCTAGACTTCCAAACTTGTTGGACTAGATTGTTTATGCTGATTTCAGTTTGTAAACCTATTTCAAGTCAAATAGTATAAGGTCTGGGGATTTAGTTCAGTGGCTCCGCGCCTGCCTCGCAAGCACAGGGTCCTGAGTTTGATTCCTGGTAATGAAAAAGAAATAGTATAATAATGACAAAAATACCCTGAATGAATATGTGTCAAGCACTTTACAAACTATTGTGACTCAGTAAAAACTGGGCCTTACAGAGAGCTGGATTTGAAACTCAGCTCTGCCATTAGCCAGCTACGTGACTAACACATAGCTTTATTTCTTTGAATCTGTTTCTTCCTTTGTAAAATGGGGTAAGTAATGCAATTTTATGAACATTTAAAGTGTCAAAAAAAAAAAAAAGCCCCACAATAAAAGTTGAGGGCTGGGGACATAGGGCAGCAGGATGGCCTGCCCAGCATGCCTGCCCCTCTCCAAGCTTGATGTTTATTTCCTTCAGTCATTCAACAAGCAAACACCCATGAACAGGTATTATTTCTGTCTCTATATTTCTTTTGGAAACAAATTGGGCCACAAAAGGTATAAATAAATCTATGGCATTTTCCCAGGTGTCTCAAATAGTCTTTGTTTGTTTTTGCAGTGCTAGGGACTGAACCCAGGATCTTTGGACTGAGCTATATTCCCATCCCCATTTTTTATATTTTTAAGACGAGATCTTGCTATGTTGCTAAATTGGCCAGGCTAGGCTCAAACTTATGATTGTCCTGCCTCAGCCTCCAGAGTGCTGGGATTACATTTGTGTGCCTAGTTCATAGTCTTTTAGTTTAACTTTTTCTTCTTTTACTGGACTTTAAGAAGTTTCATTTTAATGTTTTATGCATTTAGATTGTCTATTTATATCACTATCAGTTATAAAACTGGATTTGAGGGGAAAAGACTTCTTACTGTTGCCTTATCTCGGGGGAAAGGAGGCTAGCTTTATAAATAGAACAAAAAAGGGATGTGGCATATTCCAAAGAAATTTATCACATTAGATATGGCAGAAAGGAGGGAGAAAGATATCAAAGACAACTTCTGGGGGGCTTTTTGAGACAGGGTCTTGCTGGGTACCCCAGGCTGCCTTGAACTCTGTGATCCTCCTGCCTCAGCCTGTTGAGTGCTGGGATTGCAGACATGGGCCACAATGCCTGGCTAAATTCTGGGTTTTAAACCAGATGATAAAGAGGGGTAGAGAGATTGGCTTGGCTCAGGAGGAGAGGAAGGAACAGGTGAATGGCTCTGCTGAGGATATATTCCTGTAGTCACAAGGCGAGATGACCAAACAGCAAATATCCGAAAGGTGCACGGAGAATAGGATTGTGGGACAGGCTGGAGGCTAAAGTTCGGGCTCAGACTGGGCCCAAAGGTCAGCCAATAAAAAAGAAAGAACTACATCTCCAGGAAACTTGGGGAATACAACTGCTGTGAGTCACAGAATCAGCCTAGTTCTGCCTAAATGCATTTCCGTGGAGGGTGAGTCTGTTTTCACGTGAGTGGATTGCAAGGTTGCATTTGTGGCCAAGTATGAGCAGGAAGCCTGTCCCAAATGAGTGATTCTCCAAAGTGGAGTCTGACAGTCTTCTTGATGAGTTTTAAATGGATCCAGAAATACACTTCAGTGCCTTCATTCTTTTTTATTTTATTATTATATTTTGGGGGGATACTGGGGATCAAACTTGGGACCTTGCACTTGCAAGGTAGGCACCGGAACCACTGAGCTAAATCCCCAGCCCTCTTTTTTATTTTTTTGCAGTTCTGGCAATTGAACCCAGGGCCTCAAGGAAAGCAGCACTGTACCACTGAACTACCTCTGGGTGGCTGAAGTAGGAGGATTGATAAGTTTGAGTCTATGTTGGATACTTAGGGAGGTCTTTTCTTAAAATAAAAAGTAAATAGAAATAAAAATGGCTCGGGATGTATCTTAGTGCAAAGAGCCTAGGTTCAGTCCTTAGTGCTGAAAGAGAAAAAGATTTTTAGGGGAGGTGAAGGAGAGTGAAGAACAGAGAATAGCCTGGGACAAAGTTTATGTGGATATGGTGCTTTGGAAGGAAAAGAGGGGTGGAAGGCTGGGGTTGTGGGGCCAGGGAGACTAGTTCTGAGACTGCTTCTTTAGTTTCAGTTACTTAGCTTATCAAAGACTACGCTCTGGTGTATTGTCTGCTGTTCTCTAACTATATATACATAGAGATGTATGTGAGTGCTTGTGTATGCCTATGCATGGGGGAGAGAGGGATGAAAGGAGATTTTAGGAATTGATTTATATTATCCAGGACAGTCTCTATTTCTTTTTTTTAAGTTTCTGTGAGACAGGGTCTTGCTATGTGATTCAGGCTGGCCTTGAACTCGAGGCAGTCCTCCTGCCTCAGCCTCCTGAGTGCTGGATTCATAGATGTGCGCCACCATACCCGGCTAGTCTCTTTACTTAATGTCAACTGATTATAGAAGCAGCCACGTTCATAAAATCCCTTCACAGCAACATCTAGATAAGTATTTGATTAAATAAAGTTCTACAGGGTCAGGGATTTAGCTCAGTGGTGCCACTGCCTGCCTTGCAAGTGCAAGGTCCCAAGTTTGATCCCCGGAACCAAAAAAAAAAAAAAAAATAGCGTGCTATAGACTAGCCAAGTTAACACATAAGGCTCATCATCACATCTATTCATCTGAGTTTTTAAGTGTTATTAAATGCTAGTTATCAGGGCCAGGGATTTAGCTCAGTGGTTCCTGCCTCCCAAGCACAAGGTCCCGAGTTCTATTCCTGGTACCAAAAAAAAGCTAGTTATCAAAAACAAATGAGATCATTATTGGCCGTTAGTAGAGAACCCTTTGGAATTC